AAACATGATCCATAGGCATTGCTCCGACCTCAACACGGGATGACCCACTCTAAACCTTACTTGGTTATGCGACATACCCAAGGCTAAGAATTTTGGACATGACTAGGGCAATAAACCGTCGAACCTTTGTTCAGTCAACACACACACTCCCACTGAAATCTATATTCTATTATACATGATTTTTACAAGCTCTCTAGGCCTTTAAAGGCCACAACATAGTCCTAGAATGTGGTTATAGTTCCCCCCTCCCCCAAGAGCATGCCAAGCACATATCACTATAATGCAAGGGAGAATCTCTCTAAGCACATGTACACGTATTTCTCTATAGGGTTGCTTTCCGATAGTGCAATTGTCATATTACATGCGGAAGTTTGTTAAGCATTTAGTTCTTGCTCTCACATGCCTACATCCACACACAGGAGTCCACATAGCTATCCTATCCTACCAATTATCCTTGGGCATCTCTCCTACTTCAACAAGGGATGACCCTCTCTAAACCCTTTTTGATAGTGCCACATGCCTAGGGATAAGGGCTTTGGATATGACCAAGACCATTGACCGCCTAACCCTTAGTCAACACACTCTCCTATTGAAGTGTATAATCCTTAATGAATGATGTTTACAATCTCTCATGGCCTTGAAAGGCCACAAACCCGAACAATTCGCCCTAAAAAAAAACCCTCTAGGAGCCAACAAGCCCGCTATCCCATCAAAATTAAATTCCTTGCCTGGGTTGCAAGGGGTTAGGCCACCTCAAAAAAAATGAAAAAATAAAGAGTCTAAAACTAGACCCTAGAATACTTTTTCAACATCCCAACCATTTTTTAAACCAAGCTGGAATCCCGAACCTTTAGGTCAATCTGGGGTTGGAGACCTTGTGCTTAGGAGCCTCTACCTACCATTGGCTCCTAGAAGAATCTACGTCGTTTGCGGTTCCATCTCCTTGGGCAAAATCCTTCATCATTGATCAATTTTTGGTATCACGTGTCCTCTTCCAAACCTCAGACGAATTTCAATCGCGGTTTACAGTCAGCTATGGTCCAAATAGATCAGAGCTCAAAGAAAGCTATTGTGTAGAGCTTGACCACTCCCAATGTCTCAGCCCTACCCATGCATTGGTGGCGACTTCAACAACACTGGATGGTCCTTTGAGAAATACTAGAGGTCGCATCACAATCGATTTCATTTGGTTCTTTGATTCATTTTAAGACCTTTCTTCACTTATATTCCTCTCTTTAGTGCTTCTGACACTTGATCAACCAGCTTTGTCAACCCCACTCACAAAAGTAGTGATTTATTGATGAATCAGACAGATCTTTAATCTCTTAAAAAGGAGATAAATTGAATGGCGTGGACAGATCTTGGCTTGGATGGAACAGATTTAGGGTTAAACTCAGTAGATCTGGTTTGAGGAATGGTAGATTTAGGATTTTGATGTTAAAAGAATATTGGATCTAGGCTAGGAAGGGTCATCTGATCATGTTTGACTTTATACAATCAGATCTACTCGACCTAGGTTGAACAAAAGTGAAAAACTATGGTAAAAAGTTATGTGGTCCGAGATATCTTGTGAACAAAAATTTATGAGAATCTCGGAGTATTCAGGAAAATGGTGGCAGAAAATTCTCTAACAAACTGCCCATGAAAAGCTGCCTGAATCTGCCCCTCAAGACTGCCTGAAAAAATTGGGGTATTTATAGGTCAAATGTGACTATAAAGGTTGAAGCTGCATTGTTGGCCACATGTTTGGCTTGTGAAGCCACATGTGGGCACATGGTAGCTTCATGTGGCCATATTTAGGCCTGATGTGGTCCATCGTGTCCCGCACTGCCAGTCCTATACGGGAGGTCTCGTTGCCCGTGGTGCTTAGGGTCTTTAGGTTGAACTTTCCAACAGTAGCTTTGATTGATGAAAACTCAGGTCCAATGGAAAGCATCTCCAATTCCCTGCTACATGGAATGGGTCTGGGAAAGAAAAAGGCATTGATTTCCTAGGTGAAAATTCTAGAAAATTTGGAGGTATTTGTGAAGAGTACTTTACTGCTATGATGGTTGTGCAGTTCCTGCATAAGCGTCTAGGTTGTGGAGGAGGTCCCCCTGGAATCCCGGAGAAGATTCCTTTGAGTCAAGTAAGAAAACAACCGAATTTTAGGTTCCTACTGCGGGCCATTCATATCCCACCTTCAGCATGCAGACAAAACCCTTGTCTTCTATGGTACCAACCATTACCAAGTCGATAATCTTTGCTTCTCCATTTTGTGTTTCTTTGCACTCATTTAAGATTCAGCATGGCAAAAACCAAGCTCGTGGAAATAGCCTGGCACTTCCCACTGTCCAGACCTATGCTAGTTGTTTGCGTTGTGGCTCAAACGTACTAACCAGTAAATTCCAATTCTACCCAAGCAAACCTAAAAGAGCATGTTAGTTGATTGGACGTGTTGATTGCTATCCTTCGGTGCCCATAAGGTTACCCTGTCCAACATCTCTGTCTTTCCTATGTTGGTTTTTGGAATGCCCAACCCTCATTGGAAAAAAGCTTGAAAGGGATATGGGGGACATCTAACAGGGTGGGCCTCTCATTGGTCAGGAATATCATCTTATTATACGAGAACGTCTGCATGCCAAAGATCCATTGGTGACCTGGCATCAAGAAGTTGGGAGACTACAACACAACCCTCTTAGGTAAATGGTACGGGCCATATGGCAGCAAAGAAGATCACCTGTGCCGGCAGGTGATAAAACATTATTACTAATACGGTGGCTGCAAAACTTGTTGCCAACACTAGGGATTCAGGAGCTTGGATGGATACCACGTATTGTTTGCAAAATGGGGCGGATACTTGAAAAAAACAAAATTGATATAAAATCCCAAAAAATAAGGGATTTGTTTGTAATGTATTTTTTAATGTTTTTCATCATTTTGCAAAAAAATTGGAAAATGTTTTGGCTATTAATAAACCATCTTTTTTGAAAAATTTCAAAAATATCCCTGGGCACAAATCGATTTTTTAAAATCCATTTTTTTCACTAATTTTAAATTTCATTTTGATGTTCTTTGTTTAATCATTGCTTTAAATACTCTTTTCATAGTTTTTTGGATTTGTTTTGTATTTTTTTATTTTTTTAAACATTTTTTGACAGGCTGGGACTTGCTTGGTTAGGCCGATTGAACGGGCTGGTTTACCGGTTACTCATTATTGGCTCTTGGCTGGTTTTCGAGGCCGGTTCGAATTTTCGTACACTAGTACCATGTCCACCTTCCTGGACTTTCAAGTAGAATCAGAGTCATAGTTAAAAGTGGGATGTCGGGAACTGAATGAGATTTCAGAAGAATACATGGATAGGAGGAACACATACCCTCAAGCTTTCTTTCCCTATTTTGTTTCTCTTTGTCTTAGACTAGGATACCACATTGCAGACTACTACGAATTGCTGGGTGGCCAAAAAGTCTGGTTGCCCACTGCCCAAGATACAAAAACATTTTGAGTGGGATACAAAGTCTTACACCTCTTCATAATCGCTCCGGCGGATGCAAAATGATATGGGCCGCATCCCCCACAAGTAGCATTTCGGTGTCCTCATTTTACGAGGCTCTCAATCACTGCCCCAGACAGACTATAGCCTCTGAAGTCTGGTTCACCTCCACTCCACCTAAGGTGTAGACCTTAATTGGTTGGTGTTTTATCGAACAAAGCACTAACCATGAACGATATTCAGAGATGAGGTATCCGTATACAAAACTGATGCCCCAAATGCAGTGATGAGAAGAGACCATTTATCACCTGGTTATCCATTGTAAATCAACTTCTCATATCTGGTCTTTCTTCCTTTTCTATTTGATTTGATTGTCCCTGGTGCACACCTTCAACCAACCAGTTATTCCAATTCTACTCGTCTCCACCTTTCCCAAGTGCTTTCCTAATGCTATGTGGCCTCTTTTGGGGGAATCCGGTTTGGAATAAAGAGATGTATCTTTGAGAGCAAAGAAAGAGTGAAAGACACATTGGCTCTCGTAGGGGCCTTATCAAAGCTTCAACTATCTTTTGGGGGCAAAACCGCAAAGTATTCACCTCCTACTCTTCGACAGACCTCGTCCAACATTGGAAGGAACTCATTTAGTTTACCCTTTACATAATTTCACGATCCTCACATTGGATTCCACCAGGAACTAACAAACTCAATTTTGATAGTAATTCTCTTGGTGGCCTGGGAGTGGCAGGCATTGGAAGCTTTTTACAGAAATCACTTGGAGAAAAATTTATTATGTTCGGGGCCTATTGGAGTAGAGGTTGCACCATTCAAAAGAAGCTCAAGCTTAACTATTGGCCTCAAAAAGTGTTGGCAAGAGATTGGGCATCAACAATTCTTATCTGAGGGGACTCGAAAATGTCATAAACTGGTCCTACGACTCATCGCTTCTCCCTTGTAGATTGGAGCGTACTTTCACTAAGATAGCTCAAATTTGACTTTCCTTGGGAGTTACCTTTAGGAACTCTTGGAGAGAGGAAGGCTTGCGTGGATTCATTAGCGAAGGAACACATGATCAGACCTTTGCATTTTGAGACCGTCCTCCTAAGGACATATTTTTGCTACCATAAGATTTTTGTACAAATCCAACACTTACTTCACTGCAACACCTTTTCTGTTTTATACATAGCCAGATGTTTAGTCTTTTAACTGTGGATAGTGCAAGTACAATACAAATAGTTTCAGAAATTCTAGGACATTTCACATTAGTTACTAATTTTGGAAAGGTCAGGAAATTATGAAATACAAGCACATATAGAAATCCTTTCTATCTTGCAAACTCTGCTGAATGCCATTACTTATACTTGGTTCTTTAAATAAGGTGATTCGATGTTCAATTGATAGATGGATTTCTCTATTTTGCTGTGATGTACATCGAATTTCTATTTCGATTCTATTTATGCTTTTCTTTTTTTTTTGGGACAGCTAGCTTCCAATTGTTCCTAAACTGATTTACATTTTTTTTTATTTTAGGTCCATCCATCATGTGTTCTGAAATCAGAGGATAGTGGATTGTTACCGGATTATGTGGTTTACAATGAACTTTTGGCAACTCCTCGTCTGTTACTTAGGAATGTATGTGCAGTTGAAATGCCGTGGGTTACTCCCATCTTTGGCAAGTTAGGAAACTTGGATGTCAAGAAGCTCAGGTAACAAACTGGTTTTCTCATCTTAGGGTTCTTTTAAAAACTGATGACAACAGATGTGACATTTATACCCATTATTTCAAATGAAACACCCTGCTTCTTTTGAATTTCTACACTGCGTTGTATATTAATTCTCACCTCGCTCTCAAGCATGCCTGGCGTACATTCATCTTCCAATTCTTTTTGAAAATGATACTGGTACCCCTTTTTGTAGACATGACATTCATATACCCATTTCTCATGTGAACCCAGACTACAATTAAGATATTCTATGAAACTAAGATTTTGATTCCTTAGAATTCTAATTTAGAATTAGCATTGAATTCAGCAATTGAAGGATCTTTGATTTGATTCAGGTTCAAAGAAGGATTTTTTAGACTACTAAGTAGTGTATTTTATTCTCCCTTGTACATATTTGTTATGCATTCAATTTAAGAAATCAACATGCAGGGAAACTGAACTGGCATATGCATATGTTTTATGCTTCTTTATTTGGGATGAACATTTGCCCTAATACCATGATTCTCACCCAAGAATCAGACAATGGCCTTTTCACAGCATCAGAGTTCTATTCTTGTAAATCTTTGGTATCATTTCCTTCCAAATCTTTGAATAAGTTCATTTTTTTTCCCAATTTTGCAGTGGGGGATGCAATGTTTCTGAGCAACAGAGTCCTCAGGGCACAGACCCCTTGAAGGTGCAAGCCTCAGTCAAAAATGACAATGGCATTGCATCAAAGGTTTCTGATGACCACGAAAAGAAAATCCAGGCTGCTAAAGAGAGATTTCTTGCTCGGAAAGGAAAGAAATAGTGGCCGTCTGCCGTCTCCAATTTATGCATTAAAAGTGGATCAAGTGCTTGTAAATAACAGGGCTCTAGTGGCCTCATATCCCATGTACTGATAACAAGTCCTCGAAGTTTTTCTAAATGCTTGAGCAAAAAGAAAGGAAAAAAAGAGAGAATTTGTGAACCACACCTAAACTATTGGCTATTAAACATTTCATAGTTTATCAAATCACACCTAGTTATAAAATATTGTGGTCCTATTCATTTCTCAGCTATCGGAAGAGAATGTATCCAGCGTTTATTTTTAAAGCTGAAACTCGGGGCATCTACACTCTGAAATAGTGCGCACCAGTAAATGCATTTAAAAATTATATGGTTTAAAATAACCAAAGTACCCATGAAAGTTTAGGGGTATTTGCCTTTTCTAAATTATTAGAAGCAATTTTTTATAATATTTTTATCGTGTATGTTGTATTATAAAGGTAAGGATGCTCCAAATTTCACATTAATCTTATCTTACAAAGAATGAAGAATAAAACATTGAGACAAACATTCTACCAAGATATGGATAGTTTAGTGTACGGTTATTGTTTGAAAAATGTAGTGTTCACATATAGGAAATATATACAATGGGACTATTTACTTTTTTGATAGAAGGAGGTTATAATTATCATGACCGTTGGATTTGAAATTTGGTGGTTGAGGATATGTTATTGTTTGGGCACAAAGTTTAAAATATTTTTTTGAATGTTCCACTTTCATTTATTGGATTTTTCATCTAATGAGAAAAAGTGATTTGTGATCTCATTGGAAGTAGTCTCATACAATCGCAGCAGGGGATGAGAATCAAACAGGAGGGCAAAAAGAGTAAGATCAGTCCAAGAATAAATAAGGGCATAGAAAGAGCAAGAGGAGGCTAAGAATCAAGAAATTGAAGGAGAGGGGATGCCAAGAACCAAACAATCGTAGCAGTGGACGAGAATCAAGAGAGAGAAAGTGGGGATAAGGAGATGAGAGAGGGAGAGACGAGTCAAGAAGCGGAAGGTTGACGAGGAGGAGGATGGAGCTAATGCGTTGCAGAAGAGGATGATCAATGGGTGGAATTTTCATGAGGATTGTTTCGAGTTTGCCTTCGTCTATCCCTCTCAAGAAGAGCAAGATCAGGCAAAGAATCAAGAAATTCATGAAACATGGGCATAGAAAGAGCAAAATCAGGCCAAGAATCAAGAAATTGATGAAATAAGGGCACAAAAAGAGCAAGAGGAGGCCAAGAATCAAGAAATTGAAGCTGAAGAAGAGAGAGAGGAGGCCAAGAACCACGCAATCACAACAGGGGACGAGAACCAAGAGAGAGAAAGTGGGGATCAGGAGATGAGAGAGGGAGAGACGAGTCAAGAAGGCGGGGCGATGATTCCTGAGTTAGAGAGGATTTTCGAGCACTCAGAAGCTCAACGTTGGTGTTTGGTCAGATTGGTGGATATGGTCCAGGAAGGAAGGAGAGATGTTGAGCTCTCGGATTTGCTCAGGAACCTGCGATTGGAGTCAAACTGCTTACCAGCGAGCTGGAGATCCTCACGCGTCAATTGGAGGAAGCAACAGGGGCAAGGCGAAATGACCAACCAGACGTGGAAGGTGCCAACCCTGAGCCTCAAGAACCCTATTTCGATTCCCCATTTTGCCCCTAGCTTTTTCTACTATGTGCAAGACAATTCCACTGTGACTCTTTGTTTGATATGAATAAGGAATTCTTTTGATTCTGAAATCCATATCCTTCAATTCATAGAGACCACCCTCCTGTGTCAGTAGTACGAAATATGGACATTTTTTTCTATAATCCATTTGCCTTGTATGAAGAAGCAACAACCCTCTCCTCCGCTCTCTGTCTTTTGTGTATGTAGTATGGAATTGCAGCAGCACCATTGCAGCAGCAGCAGCACCATGAACCATTTTGAATAGAATTCCTCCTTGCATTGCATGAAGTAGTTCGATTATTTTGATTTTCCTCATTGTGTTGTGTAGAAGCAAGAAAGCAATGTAATGAAAGATCTTCGGCTTGCTACTTTACTTGATTTCTCTCCCTCCTCTGCTCTGTTCTGCTCTGCATGTAGTATGATCATGAATAGGAGCAATTTTGCACACAACTTGTTAATTTTATTTTTTATATTTTTCACTTTCATAGGGTAGTCCAACATAAAAAAAAAAAAATGGAACAACCTCATTTTTAGGGTAGTTCGATGTTCGAAACCCAACACTTCTATTCCCGCTACTGTGTATAGTGTGGTGTGATGTATAAAACTTCCGGCCACTCTATATTTAGCATAATTTGCTCGTTCTTAGGTCCAATATTTCAAACATCATATTGCTATATGCCTGGAGGTAATTTTTTTTTTTTTCACTGGTATGATGTTCAAAACATCGGACTGTCCTATGTTATGAGTAAGTTTCAGAAGAGTGAGCAGTCCGATGTTTAACGCATTAAACAACAGAACACACTCAAATAGTCTTTCTCTTAGTATCATGTGGTTCGATTTTTTAAACGCAAGGGGCTAAATTAGTGCTTCGATACCGCAATTCAACCGGCGCTCTCTTGCCATTTTTCTCCCATCACCTTTCGCTCGTTTTCTTTTGCATGTCATATCTTTCCAAGCACGGGTTCTCTCTCTCTCTCTTTCCATCAACTGCTCTCTCTCTCCACCAACTGCTCTCCCTCCCTCTCTCTCATCTTCCTCTCTTTGAGCTCCCTAGAAATGCAGACTCCTTAATGTTGTGTGTGAAAACTTTCTCTACAGTTTCCTTGGGAAAATCCCAGCAGCATACTTTCATGAAATCTAGTTTGAAAGTGAAAAGTGGTAGCATGAAAGCTAAGAATCCTATTTGATAAATTGTGACTCTGAAATCTAATTTGAAAGTGAAAAGTGGTAGCATGAAAGCTAAGAATCCTATTTGATAAATTGTGACGTTGACATTTTACCTCTTTAGTGTTGGGAAAGTTGGAAACTGACTGTCTTAACCCAGAGGCTCAAATTTTTTCTAGTCATTCAACATTCAAATAGTTGATTAGAGGAAGTTATTTTGAAACAATCAATACTAAACCATTTATCTCGTAGACATAGTTTGATAAATTTCCCAAAGTTAAAGACATACATGAAAAAATAATGACCATACATATCTTAAAAGCCTAAGAATATGATGACATACAAAATGATGATACCATAAAAAATGCCTAAAGAACTCATCTTAACAGCTAGTATTTATCTTTGATGCTTAAAATACTTATAAATTAACCCTAAATCATAAGGATAATAAACATATAAAATATCAAAGCAAAAGCTTCCAAGATTTCCCTGAAGTGAGAAACCTATAAACAAACTTGTAATAACTCCGGCATAAACAAAAAGAGTGAGCTTCAAATATTTCAATGGGCAACTGGAGTGGAAGCTCACATAAAAGAGAGCTTGTATGTCAGCATGTTTCAATTGCCTCAAAATAATAAATGTTGACACAAAAGCATTCAATCATCGAGGCCCAATAAAAAAATATATTGCTTGGGGTACTAGCTCCACCCATAAATTGAGTGGCATAAATGAAAAACTTACATCTAAAATAAAGCAATAAAATGAATATTCACAATATCAAAAGATCAAAAAATATAATAAATTGTAGTAAGGAATTTATTATAAGAAGATGCTGAGTTTAGCCCATTAGCTCATATGAATATAGGAGCCTAATAACCCAGATTGAATCTAGACAGATTTGACGGTCACGACCTCATTTCATATTTTAATTTTAATATTTTTGAATAATACACGGTTAAAATTTCAAATTATTTGGATTTATAGAAAAAAAATTAAAATTAAAATACGAAATGAGGTCGTGATTGTCAGATCGGCCCAGATTCATTCTGGGTCGTTGGGCTCATATAAACACATATGTTCATATGAGCTAGTGGGCTTGGGCTAATCT